AGCATCTGTGAGGCTGCTAAGGAAGTTCTTGGTGACAAGCTGGGAGGCAGAGGGTTTGTGAGGGAGAGCAGGGTGTGTGTCTGGAAGGAACAGGGAGCAGGGTGTGTGTCTGGAAGAAGGGAGGAGCAGGGTGTGCGTCCGGGAGGAGCAGGGTGTGTGTCCGGGAGGAGCAGGGTTTGTGTCCGGAATGAGCAGGGAGAGCAGGGTGTGTGTCCAGAAGGAACAGGGAGCAGGCTGTGTTTTTGGAAGCTGCAGGCTGTGTTTCTGAGAGGAGCAGGGTGTGTGTCTGGAAGAAGCAGGGTGTGCGTCTGGGAGGAGCACGGTGTTTCTGGGTGGAGCAGAGAGCAGGCTGTGTTTTTGGAAGCTGCAGGGTGTGTTTCTGGAAGGAGCAGGGTGTGTGTCCAGGAGGAGCAGGGTGTGTTTCCAGAAGGAGCAGGGAGCAGGGTGTGTGTCTGGAAGGAGCAGGGTGTGTGTCTGGAAGGAGCAGGAGAGCAGGGTGTATTTCTGAGAGGAGCAGGGTGTGTGTCCGGAAGGAGCAGGGTGTGTTTCTGGAAGAAGCAGGAGGGCAGGGTGTGTTCCTGGAAGGAGCAGGGTGTGTGTCTGGGAGGAGCAGGGTGTTTCTGGAAGGAGCAGGGTGTGTGTCCAGGAGGAGCAGGGTGTGTTTCTGAGAGGAGCAGGGAGAGCAGGGTGTGTTTCTGGAAGCTGCAGGGTGTGTGTCTGGAAGAAGCAGGAGGGCAGGGTGCGTGTCTGGAAGGAGCAGGGTGTGTGTCTGGAAGCTGCAGGGTGTGTGTCCAGAAGCTGCAGGCTGTGTGTCTGGAAGCTGCAGGCTGTGTGTCTGGAAGCTGCAGGCTGTGTGTCCAGAAGCTGCAGGGTGTGTGTCTGGAAGGAGCAGGGTGTGTGTCCGGGAGGAGCAGGCTGTGTGTCCAGAAGCTGCAGGGTGTGTTTCCGGAAGGAACAGGGTGTGTTTCTGGGAGGAGCACAGAGCAGGCTGTGTTTCTGGAAGGAACAGGGTGTGTTTCTGGAAGGAGCAGGGTGCAGGCTGTGTTTCTGGAAGGANGCCTTCAAGCTAAACCCAGGAAGAACTTCCAGGAGCAAGGGAAACATTCCTATCACAACCCAGAAAATGGCCAAAACCCTATTTGCACTAAGAATGTATAGAAACAAATCAGGCAAACAAGGCTTAGAGTGGAAGCAACTCTCCCCTACCTGCAAACATCATGTGAAGCTTTTCCAGCACCTCTGCTTGGTCCAGCCACACATCGGACACAAACACAAACATGGCGTCCTCATTCTCCTCCTCCAGCTGCCTCAGCTTGGCAGAAGCCTTCACTGATGTTGAGGAAGGGCCTCCAAAGAAGTTGATGTTCCCATAGAAGGCTCTGCAGCATTGAAATGCCCCAGTCAGGACCCCAGCACGGTTTGGGTTCAAAGGGACTTCAGAGCTCATCCCATTCCAGAGGGATCCATCCCACTCCCACTGTCCCAGGGATCCACTCTCCCAGCAACAAGGAGTTTCTGATTCCCATGGAACAGCTGCCTGGCCTGGCCATTGAGAAGGGTTTCCATCCCCATTTCCATTAATAAGCACAACCCAAAGGGTTGTGGAAGGGTTTTTCTGCCAACCCTGCAGTGCCTCCAAGCCCAGAACTGCTTCCTTAAAATGGGATTTATTTTAAAGCATTTGGGGAGGAGGAAGAATAACAGACTTGAATGTCAGAGAAATTACAAAATAACAATGATCTTACTTAGAAAGCCCTGGGAAAACATGGAGTGAGGCTGCCAAAAGTCACTTTTGTACCTCGTGGTAGCAGAAGGCTCAGTGGGCGGAAATCCAAAAGCGTTCACATGGAAAACTTCATCTTCATACCAGCCTAGGAGGTTTTGGAAGAGCAAAACAGCACAAGAACCCTTGAGTTTTTCCAAGAGCATCATGTCCCAGACATTAGTCAGAGCTGGCAGCCGTGCTGCACTGCCAGCCCCAGCCTCCACCAATCCCTCTCTGTGGCAGCAGAACCAGAGCAGGGAAAGATTGGGGTGGAAAAAGGGCTGAGAGGGAAATCAACTTTGTTTTTAAACCCAGTTATTCCTGATTTGCTGAGCCACAGAACAACCCCTGAAGCACACAAGGATTGCCTGATTTTGCTGGCCCCATCCCACTGCTCCTTGTCTCAAACCCCACTGCTGAGAACAGAAGGAACTTGGTGATTTATTGATTTATTTATTTATTTATTTGTCCCCACTCTCATTTCTGCTCCCAGCTTCTTCTTACAAGCAGAAAACACCCCAGAAAACAGACTGAGACCNTTTCAGGTACAAAGATGTCCAAACAAACTTTTAGTAATTGTCACATTGTCGCAAATCTCAGTGTTTAACCAAAATAAAAGGCCAAAAAATACATTTATTTCAAATCAACCCTTTATATCACAATGACACCTCAGTGCCTCTGCTGCCAGTCACTGTCTTTGTCTTGGTGACATCAGAACTGCCAGGAAAAGCGGCTCCAAAAAAAAGAAATTGTTTACTTACAAGGCTGTTTTTCAACTGCATCGATGACATTTTCAATTATTTCATCAAGTTCTCCCTCACTGGTGGACTGGAAAGCTTCAGTGAGATACTTCAGGGCATCCCTAATCCCAGAGGAGAAAGCACAAAAAGCAATCAGTGTTCAATGGTTGACACAAACTGTGCTGATTTTGGCAGGTGTGCACATCAGCACCACATTGGTTTGTGGTTAAAAAGCAGAAATAATTAGCTCTGTATAATAGCACGTTGCTTTAAGTCAAAGAAAAAAATCATTGGGATTGAAAATATCAAGGGAAAGATGTGGAGAACCTCAGCCTCACACAAAATATTCCATGTTGGAAGGGACTTCTGGAGACCCTGTGGTCCAACCTTGCCCTGGAAGCAGGAGAAAGTTGCATATTTATTGTGCAGGGCCCTGTGGAGCCAAGCCTTGAGAGCTTCCAGTGGGGGAGATCCCAGCACTTCTCTACTCCATCAACTTCAAAGTTTAATTAAATTTCAGTGAAGAATTAAATGGCTCTTGCCCTGCCACTGTGCATCCTTGAGAACACTTCTCACTTTTAGGAAGACTGGGATTAGCTCCTCATGAATCTTCCCTTCTTGGGGCTAAATCAACCCGAATCCTTCACATCCTCCCCANTTTTTTTTTTTTTTTTTTTTTTGCTAAAACAAGGCTCCAAAACTGCAAGCTCTTACATCATCCTAATGAGAAGCCTCATTAAAAAGCTTTGCCAGCACACAGCAGTATTTTCAGATCATTAAATCATTCCTCTGGTTATTCCAGGCTGTCTTCCTAATCCACTCATAACTTCCCCAAGCATGCTGGGGCCAATCCTCAAAGCTGCTCACGTTCCCCAAAACCCCCAAATTCCTCCTCTCTGCCTGCAGAGTCACAGCAAAAGCTGAAGGCCAAAAAATGTCAGTGATGGTCACCAAAATGAGACTTCTCTGCTCAGCCACAGCTTGAGCAGAATAATTTATTACAAGCTGAAACATAAACCCAGTGTGCTTTACCTTCTGCCAGAACAAAGGAGGATTCAGTGTACAACCCACTGTGGAACTGGTGAGGGAAGGTTAAGGAATGTATTTTTCTTAGATTTAAAGTAGGTTTTGGAAGCAAAATTTTGCTAATGGATTTGGATTTGAAAGGTCACAGGCTGCCTGAAGAGCCTGGAAATTGCCTGGTACCTGAGCAGGTAAGCCCAGAGAGAGCCCAGGAACTGGAGCAGGCTCTGCTTCCATGGGGAGGGAAAGCCCAAAGTCCAAGGGAAAGGCAGGACCAGGAATTGCAAACGAAGGAGAAAGAGCTGCAGCTGCCAAGATGGAATCCTGAACGGTCAGCATTGATTTGCTGCTCAATTTCAGATCCTGCAGCTCCACAGGGAATTCCATCACAACAAAAGGATATTGCTTTACTAAGGTCTAGCTGCACCACTCCTGTGGGGTCTTCTAGGAAAAACTTCCCCTACAAAACAGGATTCATTAACAAAGCAAAATACAGCAAACCCACTAATACTTCAATCAGAAACATCTATCTGTCAGCATTTAGAAATCATTTGGTTGGTTTAATGTTTTAAGGTGGCAAGAAATGAAAATAATGTCATTTATAGGAAATGTAGCTCAGCAGCTTCCCTGGGAGCTGCTGCAGTTGGGATTTTTGCTGCTCCCCTCCCTGAAATCACAGTGCAAGTCCAAACTCAGCCACTGGAAGCTCCAGCCCCTCAAGAAGGGACAAGCCAAAAAATCCTCACTGCTTCTGGTTGCTGGCATAAAAATTTTATAGTGGGAAGACAAATAAAGACATTTCCACACACGCTGGCACTGAATGCCTGTGGAAAAGTCTCTCAGAATGAGTCAGTGTGAGATACTGAAGTTTTCTAATTTAAATGTATTACAGCACTGAATGAGCACTGATCAGAGACCCCACAGCAAAAAGGAACTCACCTTGAGCTGAGTGATCATCCCCAGCACAATGAGCAGCAAACAGAGACCCCAAAGAGAAAAAGGAACTCACCTTGAGCTGAGTGATCATCCCAGCACAATGAGCACTGAACAGAGGCCCCAAAGAGAAAAAGGAACTCACCCCCTGAGCTGAGTGATCATCCCCAGCACAATGAGCAGTGATCAGAGACCCCACAGGAAAAAGGAACTCACCTTGAGCTGAGTGATCATCCCAGCACAATGAGCACTGAACAGAGACCCCACACAAAAAGGAACTCACCTTGAGCTGAGTGATCATCCCCAGCACAATGAGCAGTGATCAGAGGCCCCACAGCAAAAAGGAACTCACCTCCTTGAGCTGAGTGATCATCCCCAGCACAATCACTTCTCCCACCTTAGCTGGACTGCCCAACAGAGTCTCCACTGTCTTTAGCTGGGGTCAAAGGCAAAGAATCCAATCAGAGTCAAATCAAACCCTCCAAACTCAAACTGCCTTGCTTGCTTTTCCCCCCAAAGCCCCACACAGGACATGGCTGTGCATGAACACCCAGCTGAGCCAGAGGATCCAGGCTCGTCACCAAAATCTGAGCTTATTTCTGAATGTGCCTTAGGAGATTCCCAATAGTGTCTGCTAGCATAAAGAACTGCTGTCTTTATTTGGATTAAAACTGCAAAGAACTCCCAACTTCTTACCTGGAATTTGTTCTTGCTGTCATCAGGATGAGCATCCACTGGGGAAGGAGTGAACAGCTCATGTCTGTGAGTCCTCTGCACAAACCAAAATTGAAGTGATTCAGTTTAAAAAGAAATGAGCATCGCCAAAAAGCCAGTTTGCTACAAGCACTATGCAAAAGAGAAAGTTCTTCAGAAAGAAGAAAGTAAGAACTTCAGAAAGTTCTGACTCCATTCAACAACTTTTAATAATTCTTTCGACAAGAATTTACTTCCAAGAAGCAGATGATCAATAACACCGGATCATAAAACTAAGCCTAAAAATGCATTGGGTAATAAAATAAGCCTAAAAAAAGTGTCATGAAAGCATCTGTGAGGCTGCTAAGGAAGTTCTTGGTGACAAGCTGGGAGGCAGAGGGTTTGTGAGGGAGAGCAGGGTGTGTGTCTGGAAGGAACAGGG